TTCGGGGGGGGGTAGGGCTAAGGGTAAATTCTTATTACGAACATTAGTATAATATAAGAATCGATAGAAACTGTACACAATAATCATATGTAAATGTACACCTGTATACATTTATCATCTAGAAATTAATGAAAGTTTTTTTTAATGTTTCATGGTAACATATTTTGTTCAATATTTGTTGGGCTATTTTGTTTTTGTCAGTACACATTTATTTATCTAGTTGATTGTATTTATTATACAGATGATGACCAAACTGAAATAGAATGAATTCTGGCTGAAAATTAAAACCTTCTTACTGAATTCTAATAAATTTCAATCATTTATACCTAACCTAAAAACGGCTGTTCATGTCGGTTTAGAGGTATAGAGATTAAGCATTTGCATGAGATTGAAAGTCCTAGGTTCGAGTCCTATGTGCAGGATTGTGAATGGGCACTAATGGGGAGTCCCATTCTAAAAAGAAACGACTGTTCAAAGTGCTTCCAGATTTTCTATTGATTTCAATTGACTCATAATGTCAACTATTAAAATAAAATTGCTAATGATGTAACTATTATTATAATAACTGTTCTTACTCATTATTAGTAGTATTACTATGCCAGCATCATCCAAATACATAAATAATTTAGCTAGCATTCACTATACCTTATTATTTCTTACTGAATTCATATACCTGTAAACACTAAATTGTCTAAGACTTTAAATTTGATCTGATTTATAGAGTTATATTATAATTTGTTCATATCCTGACGAGAATTATGAAAACTTTTGAGAACTAGGTCAGGACCAATATGATACACATATTTTTATTGTATAATTATTAAGTAGCTAGACTATGTATATTTATGTTCCACTTATTAAAAGTTTTATTTTGACCTATGAACTGTTCATATATGATTTACCATTCTGGAGTTATTCCCAGTTTATTAATTACAGTCTCTCACATTCACAACCACATCTGGCTAAATCTTGTACAAATGTTTCCGATTTTATGGTACGATGTAGTCTGTCTGATTGGTATATAAACCCAGTATGTTCGAAATATAGGATTCATATTTCATAGGCTGAGAATGGTGTTGTTGTCTTAACAGGCAGGGCTAGGTGGGGGAGCGGGATCGAATAGGACTGTAGTCTGTTCGTACAGGTTTTATGCATCATTGGTCCGGTCGATAATTCACTGTTCTCTAATTGCTATTATTACTACTTTATATATTAATAGAGTACAAAGCCATAAGTTCTAACAAATTTCTCTCACTCCATGTTATGCATATTTACTCTTATCATTAATTATACAATCCAGAAACTTATTCAATGTCATATTGCATTCCAATCATTTCGGTATTTGTTCATAAATTACCTTGGACACTTATTGTTTCTTAAATCGTTTTCAAGCTTTATTCATTCTTATAATTGTGCTATTTGAATTTACCTAAAATCTGACCAATAAGATTGTATGGATTTTTTGTGTTATAACCTGGATGGATACAAATTAACAGTCAGGTTGAAACATATTTTAAAAGTTAATATTCAACCATATTCCCACTCTATAATTCTTAATGATTTTCAATTAATTTCAATAATTGAGATCATGAGTCATTTGAAGCTAGACCACCATGGAAAACCTGGGAGCACTGAATTCCCGTTTCGTCCTACTGTGGGACCCCTCAGCAGTGCGCATCCACGATCCCAATGTAAGGTGTGATCGATAAACAAACTCACCATTGATAAAGTGAAACACCCACCACCGCATTAACTTTCTTTGACCTTGTACGACTATGTCTTGTTTATTCACCAATCACAATTTTATGTTCATTATAAAACAATATTTGCTTTGTTGACTCATTTCTCCTATCCTCTAGCTACTGTTCGGTATGTTATTTATGTCTTTGTTTTTCCCTGTGTTGATAGACTGTATTGTTTATTTTGTATACTAACGGTGTTAATTTATGTCTTAGAAACAGATAAAGTTTATCAAGCCAAATAGCTTACTTGTTCTGACCTTGGCTAAACCAAGACTCTGTGCTCGACAGTCTAGAGAATAGTTTACAGTTACACCTGTAGGAAATCGCTTCCTACACCCACCACATGAGAGTCAAACTCATGACCTATCAGTCTCGCGGGCGAGCGCTTAACCACTAGGCCACTGAGCTGGCTGGCATCCAATGGTGTTAATGTCTAACTTCAACTAATCCACGAAATTGAGTGACACATCCACCAATTTCTTCAGTGAGTTACTATCTCACAACAGACCCGGCTGAACACTAATGGTCACTGCTTCTCACTAGAACTCCAAGAAATCCATCTTGAAACTGGTCACTAATGAGCATATGTTGATTAATATCAGAAGGGGTTTTGTGGATATTATAGAATTCCACAATAGGATGAAACGGCCGTTCAGTGCTTCCAGGTTTTCCATGTTGGTCTAACTTCAATTGATTAATGATTTCAACTATCGAAATTACTATAATATCCACAAAAACCCCTTCTGATTTCAAATTGATTGATTTTTATTCACCTTGGTTAGTGAATTATTTAATTTCTATCTTTGTTTAAGTATTATAAACATTTAAACTCATGTGTATTCTAAGCAAAGATGAATAGTGGTTAAGCAGTGGAATCCAGGACGCTCGTTTCATCCTATTTTGGACTCGTCAGCTGGATGTATCTGCATCTAAGAGTTGATGTTCACTCTGGGACTCCAACCCAGTATCTTTTACTTCAAACGCCATCGTGTTATCTACTTAGCTACTGAATCCTGATAGCCACTTACTTGTGCAATGAGGTGAAGTTTAAATTCACTTTGTATTAATTAATTTGTTCCCTCGCTTTTAACTAAAATAGTCAAGAAAGTTTATAAAAATACTACCCAATTTCATTGTATAAAATTATTTTAATGATAACACACTGAACAACAAGAACAAACTCCTAGGTGAGATTTTCTATGTAAGAATATTCAAGAGATTAACATCTATCATCCGATGGGTAAATTGAAATGAGTTACCACTTTTAAACAATGGTATTTTGTTGCGAAATTTCTCTTCCTATTAGTTATAAATAAGGTCAGTTAGCCAGTATTTATTATTGATGCTACTCAACACATGTAGTTAATGTTTAAAGTAATGATTATTTAAATGAACTTACTCATGACCTTCACAATAGGGAAAATTAAGTACTTCAAGATTTTAAATAAATACAGTTATCTTTTATTGCTGATGCTTTCACTGATCATAATATTAAGATCAACTAACAATTAGCAGACACGTCTAAATAGACTCAGTTTATTGACAGATCAATCACATCTAATTAGAAGTCAAACAATAGAGAGGCGAGACTATAATTTATGAATGAACCAATCACGCGAAATTCACTCATCCATTTGGCTAAATAGAGTTTTGGCATTATAGCTCATGTCAGTTCGTGATGAAAACCCTAAATCTCATTCCTAGCCCTAATCATCAACTGCAATTCATAATTGTAATTCCTCACACTGATTTATAACCTTCATTATTAGGTGAACACTGTCGAGGTCACTTTGACGTCACTCAAAGGTCGTCCATAAATTATAGTCTCACCAGAACTCCATTAGATTTGACACTTATAGAATATCGGAAAGACTCAGTTCAATATGAAACAAACTCTGTTCATGAAAACTTTGCAAACCGAATCATTTAGTCCATGAAAAGTATCTAGTTGAGTTGAAAATCCTCCAACATTTCTTATCTTTAAACAACACTGTTAACAGACAATTTTCTTAAAAACCACTAGTTTACTTTTTTTGCTGAGACTATAATTTATCGACGCTTAAGTGACATTGAGAGTGTCTACCTATTTACTAGGGCTAAATGAGGATTATAAAGCAGTTTGAAGAATAAGGATTATGATTTAGATTTAGGGTTTTTATCATGAACTGACATCAGCTATAATGACAAATTTCTTTTAAGCCAAATGGATGAGTGAATTTCGCGCCAAAATCCGAGACCTGTTATCTTACACCTGATTGGTTCATCCATAAATTATAATCTCGCCTGTTTTTGTTTTCTTCTCTGTATTACCTGAATACTTCTCTTCTATTCATCTATTCACCTTATAATTAAAAAAAAATCATAATCAATCCTTTCAAAGTTATTTATATTATTTACCTCATAATTATGGGGTAAGTTATAATTGAATAAAGTAGTATACAACTTTTTATGATAATGTCTTAGAACTAGTATGGTTTGTTAAGATGTAGATTTAGTGTCAGTGAGTGAATACTAAGTGGATATTCACTTTAGTATCATTGATAAATAAGTATAGCACTATATATATAATAGTGCTGTATATATATTTCATATTATCATAGCAATACATGTATTATTTCATCAGTCATTTAGCCTGAGCTCTTTGATCCATTTTTTTAAAAAAAATGTTGAAATTAATCCATGAATAATAAATTATGGCTTTTTTTGACCTACATAGTGGCTATGAGACCGGATTAAAAGACAATGAGATAAATTAAATGGGGCGTAACGAGTATTAATGAGTTGTAGACCTGATTGTGTTGTATGATATTGCTTTTCTTGACCTTAATATACAGAATGGATCTGATGAATATAATGGAGTCTATGCTTCTTTAGAGTTTTAAAACCGCATCACTTAATGCAGTCATTTAGTCATTGATTTGAAGATTAGTGTGCTACAAAACAGTATGAATTTTCAATAATTTAATGTAGCTCATTGACCGATACAAATTCATTTCTTCGGTTTTAAGCCTCACTTTATGTATAGTGGCTAGTTATACTCCTAGGCTTCTCTAACCGAATGAAGTGAAACTGAGCTTGAATCATTTATCACTGTTCTATTAGTCACTAAAGAGACGGTAATTTTTTACAATAGTTGCTAATCAAATTTCAGTAATATAAAGCCAGATTTCATGTATTTAAAATTGGTTTTAAAAATTATTGGAACCTTTACTACAAATCAGTAATTGTATTCACTATTCTTTTCATTTCCTGACATAGGCGAACTCTCTGTGTTCATGAATTTCCACTCTGATCATTGGTGTTTTCATTCAATTAAATTCTATTCATAAATAACTATGTCAATCAATAAAAAACAAATAGCTCATCTCAATGACGATCATCAACATTTAGAAGAATGTATGGAGAAACGTTTATGGGGTGTATTCTTTATTATATCACTTGGATGCTTTTTTGGTGGAATATTTATTATAATTACATATAGAATAATGATGCATATTATAATGTATTTAAAAAGTAAACAGTCAATTCATTTAGCTAATCAACCTACTAATCTATCTCATAGAAACAAAGATGGAAATGAATTTCATTTACTTCAAAAAGATACTAAAACAGAAACAAATGATAATGGAAATTGGATTGGTTCAACTGGATCTGAAATATATAAGAAACATAATTCTAAGAAATGCTGTTTTCAGTGTTGGACATCTATTCAACAAATTTTTATTCAAGGTCGTTCCTGGGCTATTCGACTTGTCAGTTATGATTGGATGCCTGGTAGAATATTTATTGCCTTATCAATGATATTCAGTTTAACATCTTTCGGTATATATGCTTATGAAGCAACAATGTGGCCATCAGAAATTGAAAAATGTGGTCATAAAGGTCGACGATTTCGTTTATTAGATTTTACAATGAATATTTTCTTTCTATTACATTTCATAGTTCGATTAATTGCATCTAGTGATGTTTTATTGTTTTGGATTGAATGGTATTCTATATTAGATTATTTAACTGTTCCTCCAACCATATTTGGATTTTTCATTAAAAGAACATGGATTGGATTTCGTTTTGTACGTATTTTTCGTTTATGTAATCTACCTGAAGTATTAAACAATTTGAATGTGATAAAATCTGCATCTAGTTTACGTATGTGTCAATTGTGTACATTATTTATATCTATATGGTTTGCTGGTGCTGGATGTTTTAGTTTATTTGAAAATACTGGAAATTTTTTTGGATCTAATACATACAATGTTAGCCAACATTTACCATATACAGCTTCATTATATTATATTATTGTAACAATGTCAACTGTTGGTTATGGGGATATTGTACCACAAACTTATATGGGTAGAGTTTTTATTTCATTGTTTATTCTATTCGCTTTAGCTACATTTGCTAGTGCTATTCCAGAAATAGTTGATATGTTTTTTAATGTAAGTAAATATTCTGGTGTTTATCAAAAACCAGAAGGAAAATCACATATTGTTGTATGTGGTGATATAACAACAGATTCTGTAAGAACATTTTTAAATGATTTTTTACATGAAGATAGACAACGTTCAGATGTTGAAGTTGTTTTTATCAATCGATCAAAACCGGATTTACAATTGGAAAATTTACTACGATTACATTTCTTGAGAGTAAAATATTTTAGGGTAAGTGTTCATTATATTTATTCATTTATTTGAATACATAAATATTGATACAAAGAGTCACTGAATACAAATGCACCATATAAGTCAGTTGATTTGTATGTGGGATGTGATACTGTCCGAGTGCCCAGATCGAAGCACGGGCTTTTATTAGGAGGCCACACCTGGAGCCTTCGACCTAAAGGTATAATCCACAGGGCAGTGGAGCAGCGTCAGGAGATGCAGTCCCATGATAGCCGGTGACCAACGATCATTTCATGCTCCATTTGTTCTCTCAGGATACTGGAGCCCATGTGCACCAATGTTTTGGAATCAGGGTTTTCCAACTCCCCTATATGGATCTTCATTATCCACCAACCTGGTTAAATCGCCTAAAATTCGCTTTTCGTCTTCTCAATTTCGTAAACAACACACTCGCTACGAGAAGTCAGTGAGTAGGACTTCCCTGGCGGTAGCTGTATGCAAGTGGCCATGTGAGAGCATTTCGAGAGGGAGAGTTGAGTCTCCCTACCCTCGGCCGTACCAAACCATTTGAGAGCATGATGTTGTATCTTTCTGTTAAAAAGAAATCAACTGGTTTTTGACAAGTCAAATGATTACAAAAGAATAAAGTTTAGCACACATTATGTCTAGTAGAACATATTATTTAACGATGACTTACTACGTTTAACCCTTTAATAGTATACATAACTAGTTACCGGAAAGTATATTCGAGATTTCCAGGAAGAATATGGTTTATTTATAGTATCTTAGATTCCACTGCTTTAGTTTTCTAGCTTAGAAAACTGTGATTTTGGTTATAGTTAATTAATAACAAACTTTTAATCCATGGTTTTTACCACTGACACAGTAGGCAAGTCTCATTTCTTTATTAATTACCTGGAAACTTCAAGCAACAATGCTAGGAAAACATAAAATCATGAAAAAGAACAGTGAGAAATAGTTTATATAATGTGTTTATCCCAGCTAGAAAACAATTAGAAACCACTGGTCAACTATATTTTATTAGTCTAGTACTCGACAGCACTGTGTAGCTACAATTTCACACGAATTTTCTTAAAATGAGTGATACCGAAGTTTACAACGGGTTTTCATAAATTGACTTACATTTTACCGATAAACTTAAATTTTTATAGACTATACTTTTTCCTCAAGCGAATTCTACATGAATTTCACGTGTCTATTGACTGTTAGCTGTTTCTCTGTCATATTACTATAATCAAATCTTCTGTTTCTTCTTTATTTGAAAGGGTACTGTCATGGATCATAATGATCTTCAACGTGTCAAGATGGAAAGTGCTGATGCATGCCTAATATTAGCCTCTGCAACAACCAAAGATCCATATCAGACTGATGCAGCAAATATCATGCGTGTTATAGCTGTGAAGAATTTTGCTAGTCATATCAGAATTATTGTTCAATTGCTTCAAACTGAAAATAAGGTAAAACAATTATTTAATTTTGCTTGTGAATACACACTACTTAAATTAAACAAGTAGGATAGATTTACTGGTTTTCAGTTTTTTGTTGCTGGTAGAACAAAATTCTGCTGCACCAAACATATTCCGTTATGTCAAAGTCAACTTTGTTGAAGCAACATTTGCATTGGAATGACTATTTCTACCCCTAATTTACTGATATACATTGTTTAGGGTTGTTATTGTCCACATGTTATTTTATTCTTCAAATAGATGCTAGTCACCCACTTGCAGTATGGATTTGGTTTGTCTTTTGTTTGATGGAGCATTAGGTTGGATGAGTTAACAGGAAATTATGAAAGTCATCTGTGTACATTAAGTTTAGTAGGTAGACTTGGAATAATGCACGTACTTATTCAACCACAGTTCATTAGTAACTGACCAACCAGTACTTATAATTAATTTTCGAAATTATTGTTCGTATAATAATGACCATATAACTGTAATATTAAGATCTACCGAAAGAGCATTTGAAACAACAGGTAATATCAAATGAAAGTTAAAAAAAACAACTCTTTATTTACATAAAGTTTAAGACCACCCCCATCTGACATTAAATTTACCCCATCTGTTTATAAGATTTAAGATGCGGCGAGAGTCGAACTCAACATTTCAATCTTTAATAGTTGAATTTATAAGTCAATTGAAGCTAGATTACCATGGAAAACCTGAAAGCACTGGACACCCATTCCAACCTAATGGTCTAGTTTTAATTGACGCATGAATTCGTCTGTCAAATTACTACAGTCTCCACAAAAGCCCCCAATCTGATAATTTCAATCTTTATCTGTCGTATTTAATTCATTATAACTCTGAAAATCGGAAAACTAAAATAGTTAGAAAAAATAGCTAATCATCAAGGCTTTGTTACCGTTGTTGTGGTGAGACAGAAAAGTAATTAAAAGTTTGTGAAGATTATAGAATTTTCTTAGTTCCGATCATGAAGTGATCTTAGCTAGACATTCATTGAAAACGTTGGAACATAAACCGGGAGATTCGTCCTGGTATGCGACTCCTCAGCAGTACCCATTCACAACTAGTTCGTGATGTTATTATGAAAATATCAGATATTCTGAAGAAGATATCACTCTAGTAAATCTGAAATTTGTGGACAACGCTACAACTAAAATGATTTCAAACAGTGGATAGAAACTTTATAAAAGAGGATTTCTTCATATCCAACGCATGAATCACAATTCCACATAAAAAGTCGTCTCGCTAATAAACAAAGACTAGAGCATCTTTTTTATTTACTTCAATATACATACGCAAGTTGCTTTGTCTTTCATTAAGGAAAATATATTAACCACATCCGCAGGTTTATTCAAACTGTTTAGTTGACCAGAGACATCGCTTTTGCAATTCATTTTATCACAATCAACTTCTGTTAAGTATTAATACACATGTTTAATTTAAAGAACAATCTTCTTAAGAAAACACCTTGGCTATTTAGGCAAAGATGGAATCCAGGACGCACGTTTCGTCCTATCTTGGACTCGTCAGTTGATGTATCTGCATCCGAGTTGATGTTCACCCCGGGACGACTGATCGGTTGCAGTTCTAAACATCAATGGGAAGATTCGAGTAAACAACACCAAGTGAATTAAAAACTTCACTCTATTGCACAAGCAATTGGCTATCAGGACTCAAGAGCTAAGTGGATAACGCGATAGCGTTTGAAGCAGTCGGTACTGGATTAAAGTCCCGGAGTGAATATCAACTCTGAGATACTGTTAAATCCAGCTGACGAGTCCGAAACAGGGCGAAACGCGCGTCCTGGATTTTACTGCTAACCACTATCCATTTAGCTTAAAAAAGCTTGTGACTTAAAGCTATATCGAGGCGATGCACACAGCATGCATATATGCCAACAACACACGGATCAATTGCAGTCCTAACCATGAGTGGGAAAATTCAAGTAAAACAACACCTAGTGAATTTAAACATCTTGACTGTTTCACTCTTATTGTCAACATTGAATTCATATTTAAGATTTGCTTATCTTCAAGATAATCCACTTTTGATCAATGATTATGAGACTAAGAGAAACCAGTAATATTTCATATAATCAATATGTTCTGAAAACTTAAATGGTTTTTCACACACACACACAAGATACATTTTTTTGAGTAAAATTGTTTCTATGACCTTGATCGACACTAAAGGTAATACACTAATTTGTTAATTTAAGAAAGTTTCTTAAAAAAAGGTAAGAAGAATGGAATGTGTACAATGCTATTGTGTATAGTTTATGATTCTTTAAGATTTGTGATTTCTCTCAACGGAATATGATTAATTAGTTTCCTTCTAAAATCATTTAATAAAACTATAAATAGTGTTATAAAGCTTGTGAATTAAGACAATATGGAGACAATACATACAGTATTCACATATGCCAATAACAGATTGATCAACTGTAGTGCTAAACATCAATGAGAAGATTCAAGTAAACAATATCAAGTGAAATTAAACTTCACCTCATTGCATAGGCAAGTGGCTATCAAGAATCAAAAGCTAAGTGGTTAACGCGTTAGTGTTTGAAGCAAACGATAGTGGATTCGAGTCTCGAAGTGAACATCAACTTTGAGATGCAGGTAAATCCAGCTGATGAGTCCAAAGTAGGACTGCCTAGCCACTATCTATCTTCACTTACAGTGCTATAAAAGGTTGATCAGTAACCCCACAATGAATGTTTGTCAAGTCTTTGGAAGATCAAGAAATCGGCTATACTAGGCTACTATCTGGCGAACTCATATGAAAATAGGTGATTTATTAATGATAATTATAATGATAATATTAACTTGACGTCGGTGAGTTTAGGTTCAAAAAACAGAAAACATATAGATAGTTAATGATTTCTGTTTTGAATACACTTTGTATCAGAGTGTGAATTAGGAGTTAATAGATTTTACCGTTCACAAGAATCTCGTTCTCCATATATGGTGGTACAGTAAGCTTTATCTTAACAGTTGTAGGAGTTTTAGGCCTTTGACATAAGTATTCTCGTCAAACATACCTAAAAATACAGATAAATAGGAGTATTTAACGAATTTTGTGTTAATAATTAGAAATTACTATATTGATAATGTTTTACTCAGTACTACAGTTTTAATCTACTTTACGCCCCCAAATGCCCTGGTACGGGGTGAGTCCACTCTCCCTCTCGAAACACTCTCACATGGCCATGCATATATAGCCTCTGTCAGGGAAGTCCTACTCACTGCCTTCTCGTGGCGGGGGTGTTGTTTACGAAATTGAGAGGACGAAAAGAGGATGCCTGGCGCTTTAACCGGGTTGGTTGACACAGAGAGTCTACTTAGAGGAGTTGAAAAACACTGATTCCAAACCAATCACGCACATGGGCTTCAGTATCTTGAAGGAACAAATGGCGTATGAACCAATCGTTGGTGACCGGTTACCATGGGACCGAATCTCCTTACGTCGTTCCACTGCCTTGTGGATTAGACCTTGAAGTCGAAGGCTCCAGATGTGGCCTCCTAAGGAAACCACTTACTTCGGTTTGGGCACCCGGGCAGAATCACAGCCCTCACACATATCAAATGAGATTTGTGTGGCGCATATGTATTCGGTGCCTCTTTGTACCAATATTTATGTGTTAAGATAAACAATCTACTTTACACACTGTGTACACTCTTGCAGTATATCTCATAAAAGTTACAAAGTATCTAAGACATTTAATTTAAATCTGATAATAATAATAATAATCAAAATCCTTTTATTTCTTCTTCTAATTTTTTTCCTACTACAAGGCTTATCTATTAAATAGTCCATATTGGAATTGGGAATGTGGTGATGAGATTATTTGTTTTAGTGAATTAAAATTAGGTTTTTTAGCACAAAGTTGTATAGCTCCAGGATTTTCTACCTTAGTAACTAATTTATTTACAATGCATTCTATAAAAGGATTAAAAGAAGCGGCAAAATTTACAAAAAATTATATGAATTCATATCATCATTCAAAAACTATGCATCATTACAATTCAAATTCATATTCTAAAGTCGTTTTAAATCAATCTCAAATATCATCTACTCCACTTTCATTTAATAAAGAAAGAAGAAAAACAAAATGGTTCATTCAATTACCTAATATTATGAAATCATTATTTAAACCAAAACAAAATGAACAATTCAGAATGATACATAATACAATTCCATCAATACAATATTCTATGGATCCTATCACATCTACAATAATGGATCCAGAATCATCATTATTATTATTAGATTCAAATAATTGGGTTCATAATTATTTATATGGTGCTAGTATGGAAATATATTCAGCTAAATTTTCTATAACATTTAATGGTTTACAATTTACTGAAGCGGCTATTATTTGTCGAAAATATTTAGATCTTTTATTAATTGCTGTTGTAGCTAAAATGAATAAAAATACAGACAGACAATCATTATATAAAATATCGAAAAATTCACCTAGCAACAACAACAACAATAATAATCATAGTAACATTGATAATAATAACTCACACGATGATAACGATGATGATGATGACGACGACGATGATGATGATGATGACGATGATGATGATAATGAAAATGTCAATAATACTAAGTACTATTTAGCTGTTTCACCAACTCTAGATCAAAATGTTATTATTAATCAAGGAACTATTGGTTTCTTCATATGTGATTCACAAGAGAATGCAAATAAAGTTTCATATTATTGTACAACTTGTCATATGAATAATTTATCACCATCTAACATTAAATCTTGTTCATGTCAACAAAGATTAAATAAATCTAATTCTCATTTAAAACTAAGCAGATTATGTAAATCTAAAAAAGATCCATATTCTATACCGAATCAACAAATAACTAATAATTTAAAAGCATCATTAATGATACCAGAATTAATAGAAGAATCTGAAACGATACCAAATCTATCATCATCATTATTATTATTATTACATACTAAACAAATAAGTCAAACAGATAAAGATATGGCTGTCATAACGGATAAAGATTTCAATGAATCTCATACAAAATCTAAAACATTATCAAGTAGAAATAGTTTACATTCAGCTTATGATACAGAAGAACATTATTCAGATGTCAATGAAAATCATCCAAGAAGATCAAGTGATACAGAGGTTCATTTAAAAACTCATACAGTTCAATTGAATAATGAATTTGATATTACAGGTAAATAAGATTGTTTTTTTGTTTTTGAACGAGCAACAAACCACTAGAAGCATAAATCACTAGTTACTGGCCTATATATGTTTCATAAAATCAATAATACAATTAAGTAGATTTAAACAATTCACCTCTGTAAAGCCAATACATAATTCGTTCAGTTGTATATTGATGATTGTTATAGTGATGTTAGATTTATATATATGAGATTGAGAATGTATTCAGATGTAACTGACATTTCAAGTAACATACATTTCCGTATAACTAATCATTCCCTAAACAATATGTGACGTCAATGTACAATCTCCAGGCGTTGCAAAAAACTGTAGTAGACGCTATCATACGAGATCAATTCTGTCGCCTCATGCATTTTATTCAGGTCGTTTCAATCCTATTTAATTGAATCCTTTTCTCACGATCGAATAGGTTTCAAAATTTCATGTGCTGAATATTCATAGTTTTTATCTCAAAGATTGAGCACCATAGTAACCGCAGTAAAATAATACCAAACCATGATGATAAGTGTTTGGAAGGAATTGAGACAGTCAGTCGATTGTGAAGATGCGTCTTCTCTTAGCACAACAACCAACATGGAACTCAACTAACAAATCGCAATCACAGTCAAAATCCGTGTTCTCAATTTCACATCTAATGGTAATTAGAAAAGGATTAGTGGATTCAGAGTAAAATGTTGAAGTATTTGCATAGGGTTTCGACAAATCACCAGAGGATGACCAGTTAGTTATGTATTAAAATTCATCAAGTTCAAAGCGTACCACTTTTGTATCAACCAGTAATCCTAGTGAATAGAAGAGAGAAATCCAGTAGCTCGTTCGTCTGGTAAGTAACTGATAAGTCTGTGGAGAGTAAACTAAGAGTTAAAAACTGAATAACAACATCTATATGATAAAATGTACACATCTATTAATCAGAGAATGGGAAATAATGTGTATTTTGGAATTTCACTCCTACACATGATCAACTGTTACTTTTGAATTATCAGAGTATTCAGTACTGATGATAATATCTGGTTCAATAAATAATGACTGACATGAATATTTCGTAACATTCTCCTTTGTGTTAATTTCTTCTTGTCTTTCTTATACTAGGTATGTATTACTATTGTGATCGGCAAGGATTTGAAGATAATCTAATTACCACAAATTCATCTCATAAACAATCACATGATCTGTACAATCACATTCTAGTATGTATTCTAGCTGAACCAGATGCTCCACTGCTAGGTCTGCATTCATTTGTTATGCCATTAAGAGCAAGCAATTTCCATCGTAATCAATTAAGAACTATTCTGTTTCTAGGTGATATAAAGTTTCTACAAAGAGAATGGTCAAATATAGCGAATTTCCCAAAAGTTTACACACTTGCCGGTAGTGCATTATCTAGAGCTGATCTACGAGCTGCACGCATACAATATTCATCAGTTTGCGTCATATTAGGATCAAGAGGTACAGTGAAAGTTGACGATCCATATATGTTGGATAAAGAAGTGATCTTGTGTACATTGAATATCAGAGCAATGCAATTTTCTCCGTATCATCGTCATAAAACATTTGTACATAATGTTCATAAACGTCGGAGCGGTTCAGAGATTCCATTGATTACAGAATTAATGACAGACAATAACATACACTACTTAGATCCAGATCATTCAGGTGGATTACAGATCGCAGCTTCATTAACTGCACCATTTGCTAAAGGCATAGCATTCACAAATTCTGTTCTTGATGTGTTGGCAAGTACAGCATATTTTGATCGTAATTCAATGACACTAATACGTCATCTTGTGACAGGTGGTGTTACACCAGCTTTGGAACAGTGGTTAGCTGAAGGCGGCGGTCTAATTGGTCATGGTAACCGGTATAATAAAGGAAAAGCATTATCCACTAAAAGTATTCAGACTACTAGAAAAGATTGGTGTTTATTTCCCGATCTCCTTGAAACAAGACAAAGACCACGAATTGAACAAATCTCTTTAACTAATTCTCGTTTAATTAGAACTGATAACAATGGTCAAATAATTTTATTTCGTAATTATGGTGATTTATTTTGTCACGCTATTCAACAACATGGAATTTTATGTCTTGGCATTTATCGTCTATCATTCAACACATATAGTGGATTATCTCGTTTAGTTACTGTTCCTTGTACTATTAAACCAAAAATCAATTCCACTGATGAGTCAATTCAAATAAGAGAAACTAATAGCCTTGCAAATTGTCAAGATAATGATAAACAATTTGCGAAATTACATAGACGATTAAGTACATGTGGATTACCTGTAGATAGAGTACTACGTAAGCATTCACTACAATTAAATAGGAAATCACTCAGTATTGAGGATACCCTACAACAACAACAACAACAACAACAACAACAACAACAACAACACGATAATCGAACACTAAATAAGAATGCTTTCTTGGATTTAATTGACCAACATTTTAATAAATTCGGATTAAATCGTTATGTAATATCAAATCCACCGAATCAATTTGAACTTTATCCAACAGATGTAATATTTTGCTTATGTCCATTTGAAAGTGAACGGATGTAATAGACAGATGATGATAATGCTGGCTAATGTGATCATTTTGTTACTTTGTCATTTTCAGATTTTTCCTTTATTATTAGTCGTCTGCACACTTTCTTTCACTCCCACTCTCTCTCTCTCTCTCGCTATTTCTGTATGTGTCTATGTATGTGCTGTTTCACCAGATTTCGTTTTATATATTGTCTACCTTTTACTCTTAAAACGTGTTTCCAGAATTATTATCTCTAAAAGTCATTTATTAACATGTTACACAAACCTAATTTAATCACCTAATCACTTATTGATTGATTGATTGATTGATCAACTGATGTGCTTTTATGATAACAAATGGAAATAAAGCTGGAACAATATGCGTCAAGTTCTTCTTGTTCCTTATTGGACTAATTTATGTACATGCTGTGCATGCTGTACCGAAATTATTAGTGATTGATTATAGGGGAGTGAGCTTTCAAAGTACTTCCCTTCAATTTCCAAAATACCAATGCATACTTTGCTATCAGTTTAGTAAACAATATTGAAGACTATTTACATTAAAATTTTTTTATCAATAAGCAACTTCAATGATCCGAGGATGTATAGTGAACTCATTACAGTCGGACTAATTCATTGTCATCGTTTTTACAGTTTTAACAAGAGACCTCCAAGTAAATTTATCTTGAATTATTTCAATATAAAGATTTCAAAACCATCAGAAAATATTCATGAATGTTGAGTGGAAAGTGCTTGACTAAATGATGATTTCTTGTAAGTCAGTAAGTTATACATAAATACACTATAGATCCTAATGCAACATGAAACTAATAATTTAGGAAATAGAATTGTATTATTTTGGGTCAGCATATAAAGACCTATAATTTTAAGGTACTTTTCATCAAACAATCGAAAACAAGGAATGACTGGATAATTGTTTCATTCGAGTCGAATTCGGAACCCATAAGGAGTGCTCCTATATAACCCCACCTAGGATCTAGCTCAGGCCTCTCAAAGACCAAGTTACTATTAAACTGATAAGTTGACGTCGAACTATTCAAATGTTCATTTCCAATCAACTCATTCTGTTAGATGTGCACTAATATGGTCTGTCACTAGAGTGGAACTCAAATGTAACCTACATATTTATAGAAAACACTGTTATTGGTGAAATGAATACAGGTGAAAGTATGGACCTATATTCCTTAATGACAGAAGAAGTGAAGACACGAAAATTTCGAAGGATAATGGAGCTACAGAAATGCTGATGATCGTGGTTGCTGTTTTAGCCCGCAAACATATAGATCTCGATTGCGTGTACTAACTGGTTTCGAAATGCAAGCTCACAGATTTCGGTGGATTTGGTTACACCATAAGGATATCAAATTTTGATATATGAAAATGATCCCTGTCAATTCATGCACTACATGATATGATTACAGGATAAAAAGATTGTACGGATTCACAAACTCACACATAATATACTATCGTGATGATGTTTGAAGAACAATGTTGCAATAATTTGGCCGATAATTATTTGACACGACTTATCAAGCATACTTCTAAGGTTTAGAGGTGATTCACAACAACTTGGAGTCACTCGAAGGAGTCCACATTACTTATTCGCTGACCGAAGTGTAGTTGTGCGTGTATTTAACATTCGTGACAAATTTTTTTAAAAAGTTCACTGATTAATTCATAACTGGTCTAAACGGTAATTTGACAGATTAGCATTACACATTTAATATAATCAAACCTGATGTGTTTGTTACCTTTGGTTAAAAACAAAGGTTTCAATGTGGTGGAGAAGATTTGTAGCTCAGATCGATGATTTTGATGGAGTTTTGTTCTCTAACCTGGATTGTTTGGTCGTGGAGCTTTCTATCTGAAGTGTGTGGTGATGATGTCGTTTAGAAGAACGATGAAAGCTCCACGACCAAACCATTCAGCTCAGAGAACAAAACTCCATCAAAGGTTTCAAGGACATTTCACTAGACAGAAATCAATATTTATATTTATTTGGTATGAAAATAATAATTACAGAATTCGTGACAGTTTACAGACATGGTTAGATTGACATAAATGGCAATCTCAAATGGAGAGGACAGATATTTGATATTACATTGTTTGAAGTGTTCGACTTCAAAAATTGTTTAGGTGGCATTTCTTCACATGTATTACAACAATGCACGACGTCAGTCAGGAACTACTAATTCTCTTGTTAAGTGGACATTCTATTGATTCATATTCACTGTAGTTGGAAAATTCGATGCCAGTAATTTTTTCCATCATTCTAGAGATAACTGGGGTGGTATTAATAGACCGATAATTCTTCATGTCAGTCTTATCTCGAGATTTGTAGCATGTTATGATGTGTGCAGTTTTCATTAGTAAGGGTAAGTACCTATCTCCAGAGTGAGGAAGAAAGAGAGAAAGTGTGTGTGTAAATAGCTTTAGAGGAAGTAGCGTAATATTAGATCAATAATACTTATATAGGATGGATGTAATACCATCTACTGCATAACTGTCTGAGGCCTTAATGGAGTTTATGGTTTTACTAATATTTAGATGAGTGAAAAAATAGATTTTATAGAGTTAACAGTACCAGTATTCCAGTTTATTCCAGGGTAAATGAAATCTCCCGTAGTGATTTTCACATTTAGGACAGATACATGTATAAATGTATTAACAATCTTGTCATTCACGTTAGTAGAAGTGTTGGCGGCTCTGTCTATACATCTCACCAATAGACTCATTTCGGGTGTTGACTGATATCCAAACTGATTCAGGTTAACTACTCAAGACACTATCTTCAACTTGATCAGATTGAGCAACTAAAGGCATACATAAGACAACCATCTTCTTGTTTAGCCTCTCTGCTACAGCGATAAAACTGGTAGTTCTGGATATTTGGTTCTGAATCAAACACTGTCGGATAGCACCACGTTTCACTGACAAATATGAAAAGAGGTTTAACTATTGAAGTCATGGTTTTGGAGGTGAAAATCATATTTTAAAGGGAATGTACATTGATTAGTAATAGGCTTATAGAGGAAGCATGGTGTGTAAACAATCCGATAACGTTCTTATCTAAGATATGCAATTTAGTGGTGACCAGAAAATGGTTCGATTTGATTGTCCGAGCGTGTAGGCTATGGCTTGAATAAGCTGTGGTGAGAGGGACCAGGTATTTCTGCAGGACAAAAATATCATTATTTATGTCAGGTAAAATTATTTACAGAAATAGATATGGCGGACAGTTAAGAAAGTCATCTGCTCGTTGAGGTTGAGTAAATGATGAGTAATCTAACAGTCCATCTTGCTCGTCAGAAAATTGACGAAGATAGTTGTTTCTTGTAGGTTCAGTATACAAAAGTTTTTGGTTCAATCGTGCGACATCTTGGTTTCTTGCAGTTTGTCAATTAATAGGTTTGGTTACATTAAGGTTGTGGTGGGAGTCTTGTGTATTATTTGAGTAAGGTATGTTTCATTGATTTAGAAAGTGAAGTTTTGACAATTTGCCTGTCGTTTGTAGATTTAGTTTGGGATGACAAAATGGTGGATCGACCAGTTCGTGTCTGTGTGCCCATATAACCACCTGTATGATTAGAAAGCACAAACCTGGTATTCTGTAGTCTATATTTGTTTGGTTGAGCCTCTACAATACTTTTGGTATCGGTTTTTGAGCCAGACACTATATTTAATTCCTTCTCACATGATTTAGATGTATCAATCTTAACAGTGTTTCGAAAAGCTTCGTGTTAAGATTGGATGTTTGAGTATGCGCTTCTTCTGTTCTGATAAGAGATATCGAATCAAAAGCATAAGATCTGTGTCGACATTTGGTATACATTGGTTATCTGAGGTTGCAACAGGTTATGTGAAGTCTGTGGCAAGTTAGCCTTCTTCATTAGTAATTTAGAGTATTGGCTGACAAACGATATGTTGGTCACACAAGTGGGACCTGTAGATGAACCAACTGAATCTGTTATAGTTTGTACATCATTATTTTCGTCTGAGATGGAGTGTGTGTTAGTCTTTGATTGGTGGTCTTATCTGTGACTAAACGGGGATTCCTGAACTTATGAAGTGCACAGATTAACCGTTCGGATTCCTTCAGTAGTTCAGCTGCTAAATGTGAATCAAACTTAAGCAAGATAGGGCACGAGAACTCCTGAAGGTTTTATTAAGGTGAGTACATTAGCATGGACTATCCTGAAAGTTAATTGCCCTCAGTATCAAATATCCCACTGGTTTGAGAGTGATTTTGTCAGGTACATTACAGAAAATCATGTTTTTTCCAGAGATTAGTCGCCTAGAAACTTCTTTAGCAGTAGAATCGACAACATATTTTGATTTAATGATGTCTTCAAGATCAGCAGGAATCAATTGGCATGGAGCACAGGCAGAAACAGATTTGATATTATTCGAGCTATCAGAGCTTCCCCAGGCGCGTTACTTTTATCAACCACCCATTTTCACTTCAAATATTTGAAGTTTGTGCTGATGATGTCGTTCAGAAGAACGATGAAAGCTCCATGACCAAACTATCCAGCTCAGAGAACAAAACTCCACCAAAATCATCCACCTGAGCTACAAATCTTCTCCACCATCGCAACTTTAGTGTTATGCCTAATTCTATATATACGTTATGTACCAGGAGTAAATAATAACCATATACTTATTTTCAGTGTGCGTTTTATTGTAACACAATGATCAAACGTAGAGAAAAGAATTTGTATAAAGTTCAAACATTGTTCTTAGGATAGAAAAATACTCATGATTTTAGAGAAGCTATACACAACACAGCACACATCTTTAAAAAATGTGTGAACTAGTCTTTCTTCGGAGTATATCACGTGATTTTCATGTTATCAAGACTTTCAATCATCGATATAATAATATCAGTCTACAAGAAGATATTGCATTTCGGTGAACCAATGAAAGTAAATCTTAAGTTAACTCAAGGTTAATCTTGTCGGTCAAATGGTACCATTAATCGAGGTCCATAATGATAGTCTATAGACGAGACAGCATACTCAAGGTAGAATATTTATAATCAAAATTCTGATTGGTGAAGTTATCAAATGAAATTGATCAGTCGCTCACACATCTCAGTGACATAACAGTATAAATTATAGAAAAATTCTTAATTATATATATTCATAAAATGGGGACATTTCTAGGACATATTTATCCAGGACTTCTCGTAGTAATAATCGGATTACGTAATCTATGGATAAACTTGAGATCATTTTATACTGGAGAGTGTAATCATAACGGAAAGAATGATTGTCGAAATCCCCATAATTTCAAGAGTAATCTAAAAGAATCCATATTCTATATAATAACTGGGATTATATGTTCTGCGAATGAATTGGTAACTGGTTTAATGTACGAGGGATATTATATTGGGGGACATAGTTTTCAACATCTGACAATATTTATTGTGATATTACTTTATGGTGTGGCTCGAATTATTCTGTCCTACAAATTACCGCATTTGTTCAAGTAGGTTTAATTTTGACAATTTTCAAATATAAATTTAATGGTCGCATTGTCGTTCAATATGAATGATAATAATAGAAGGAGATTTGGCCTGAGTAAATACTCAGTCAACTGGATATTATTTATCGGAGTCAGATATAGAGGAATTAACCTCTACAGATATAGTACTATAGAATTAGTTGACTCCAATATCACAGTATATCATTATAATA